TTTTGCTACAGAAGATGAACCCATCTACCATTCTGGAATAGGAGGAGTGTGCTTGTGTGCATGTGCAGAGTGTGTGAGAGAGAAGAGATCCATGCAAAACAAATGATTGCTTTTTCCCTATCTTTTTGCTCCAGTGACTTTCCCACCCACCTGAAACTGCTAGGGAAGCTTTTCTTCCTGGAGCAAATAGCAGCTGTTCGCAGATAGACCACTCTCTCAACAAGATGCGCTGGGAACCAGCCCCATTCCCACTGTCCTAGCTGCAATCTCTCCCCTGGCTGCACCTGCCCTTAAAAATAAAGCATGTGTATTGAAGACATCTGAGGGATGCAGGTGACACTGGGTTAAACCACAGAGCCTGGGGCTTGCCGATCAGAAGGTCGGCGGTTCGAATCCCCGCGACGGGGTGAGCTCCCGTTGCTCGGTCCCTGCTCCTGCCAACCCAGCAGTTCGAAAGCACATCAAAGTGCAAGTAGATAAATGGGAAGGTAAACGGCGTTTCCGTGCGCTGCTCTGGTTTGCCAGAAGCAGCTTAGTCATGCTGGCCACATGACCCGGAAGCTGTACGCCGGCTCCCTCGGCCAATAAAGCGAGATGAGCGCCGCAAACCCAGAGTTGGCCACAACTGGACCTAATGGTCAGGGGTCCCTTTACCTATTGAAGACATCACATTTCACACATCTAGTTCAGCCACATTAAAAGCAGGTTGTGCAAAACCAGCATTGTTGGTGGAGGCCAATTTGTGCAAGCGTTTCAGAACCAGGGTGTTCTAATCCCTTGATCCCTTGTGCAGTCCTCTCTACTGTGTGTGTGTGTGTGTGTGTGTGTGTGTGTGTTGTTACTTTATTCATTTATTCCTCATTGCATGTCTATCCAACTTTCCCTCCCAAGTTGCTCAAGGCTGCTTTTGTCATTCTCTCTTCTCCCCTCCCCCCCATTTTATCCTCACAACCACCCTGTGAGGTAGGTCAGGACGAGAGCGAGTGACTGCTGCAAGGCTTTGTGGCTGAGCGGGGCTCCCAACGCTCTAACCACTACACCACACCACTTCTGGTTTTGTCTATATGTAGCAGCTGCACAGCAAACGGCTTTGTGGGCCTGGCTTTTGTTTCATAGCCTGCCCACTGTCTCCCTCAAGAGTGCCACAAACACCTTCCAGGTGTGCTGGTTGTCACAGCATCACCACAGTCACAGGTTGTCCACTCTGCCTTTCAGCAACCCACTTAACCATCCCAAGACACTGAGTTAATTCACCCCAAGCTTTAGTCTTCTCCCCCCCCCCTTATGCGAACCTGAAAAGAGTTAACCCCAACACCAACATCAGCTTCCAGTTTCATTCACTTCTTTCCGCTGATTATTTTTCTCATCACGCACAGGAGAGATATGATAATCTTTATTGTCATTGTCCCATACAGAACAACGAAATTGAAAAATCTACCTCAGACATTCAAAACCCAACAAGCCTGCTATCCCAGCCTGGTTAGCTCACTAAAAATACTGATGCCCCATTTTAAAATACAATACACTCCCATACAGACTCCTTACAAGGTGTTTAAAACCACAATCGCATTTGGATAGAACCTGTTTCTCAGGCGGCTAGTCTTTATAACCCTGTACCTTCTTCCAGAAGGCAGAAGCTGAAAGAGATCATTTCTGGGGTGTGCACTATCCTGCGCTATCTCTGCAGCTTTCTTACAGCATAGATTTGATCCAAGGTGGGAAGAGTGCACCCAATTATTCTCTCCGCAGTCTTTACAACCCTGGACAGCATTGTTTTTCCCCTGACCGTGCAGCTCCCAAACCACACACACAGACCATAATAAGTTAATACACTCTCCACAGTACAATGGTAAAATGCCATATCAACAGGTCCTTTGAGAGATTGTTTTTCTGGAAGATTATCAAATCTCATTTTGTGGGGTGACATTTCTCTCCCCCAATAATACTCTCCCCTCCGCGTTGATTACTGCACTGGCTCCGAAAGCAACTTCTTAAGCATGGGTTCCAGCACCAGACTTTTTGCAGTTCGCCCTTTTCGCTCTCTCCCTACCCTACCCTGCCTCCCTCTGTCCCCCCTTTCCTTTTGGTCTTCCCTTCTCTCTCTCTCTCTGTTTGTGGAATTTTCCTGTGCTCTGGGCGTTGCCAGGATCTTGCATTTCTCGGAAGCGGCGTTGCACGAGAGCCTGAGCAGCTACTCACTACGAAACACGCGCTGCCTGGCCCCTGACTAATATCCTTCGGTGTATAGCTGAGGGCTGACTCAAAGCGAGGGGCTGGCAGCTGGCCGCATCATTACGGCTGCAGAGTGCAACCCGGGTTGGAATTCCCATCAGCGCAGGGAGGTGGCTCAGGGTCCCCCATCGACACTCAGTAACCCCTGGCAGGAGGGGGTGGAAGGGAGAGGAAATAAATGTGCAAGGAGTCATCCTGTGGTCGGGATGATTCAGGAGCTGGTTCTGTTAGTGGTCAGCGAGGCACGTGGCCAGTTTCATGGCTTTTGTATGCTAATCGGAGGCCAAGTCATTTTCCCTGGGGAATCTGCGTTCGTCCCCGGCGTTTTGCCAGAGAACCCGTTTGTTTGCCGGATTCAGAAAGCTGCGATTGTTGTTTGCAAGGAGCGAGGCTTTCTGTTCGCATATGGCAGGCAGGTTTTCTAGATGGGGGGTGTTTCTTTCTTTTCGCCGCCGCCTCTGAATCAGAGCGAAACTTTCGGAAGCAGAAAAAAGAAAAATGAAAGTTGCATGCTGATCTGAACCACAGAGAGAGAGAGAGCTTGATTGAAGCGGCTTCATTTTGAGACAGAAGCAGCCCTGGTTTTTAGAAACCGAGGATGGATTTTGTGGAGCCCAAAGGTGGATAAGTGTAGGAGCCGCTCCTGTTTGCCCAGTGGGAAAGAAAAAGGAGCGTTTCGTTCTCTCCTGCTCCATGCCCAGGACCATCTCGCCGAATCAGCCGATGGAGTGCTGAAAGCTAAGATGTAAGTTTGGGAACGTGGCAGCTTGCAAGTGTGTTTTGAACTAAGTTTAGGATTCTATTGAGTGGGCTGTGTGTGTGTGTGTGGTTATCTTGTTTTGTGCCTAACCATCCTGCCATGTGTGTTTGCCAGTTTATGCACCAGGGAGGGACCACTGGGCTGATCAACTGCTTTGCAGGCAACAGGTGCCAAATTCAGTCCCTGCCCTCTCCTTTCAGGAGGCTTTAGGGAAGGGGTGACGAGAAAGACCCTCCTCTGCCCAGGAAAATACCAAGCCTTATGAGGAACGGCTGAGGGAGTTGGGTATGTTGAGTCTAGGAAAGAGGAGACTGAGAGGAGATAAGCTAGCTATCTTCAAATTAATCTGATGGGTTGTCACACAGAGGATAGAACAAGCTTGTTTTCCGCTTCTCTGGTAGGACTCAAACCAGTGGCTTCAGGTTACAAGAAGGGAGATTCCGACTAAGAACTTTCTGACAGTAAGAGTTGTGGAATGGACTTCTTTGGAAAGTGATGGACTCTCCTTCCTTGAAGATTTCTAAGCAGAGGTTGGGTGGTCATCTCTCATGGATGCTTGAGTTGAGATTCCTGCTTTACAGGGGGTTGGATTAGATGGCTCTGGAGGTCCCTTCCAACTCTGCAATTCTAGGGTTCTGTAAGACCTTGGGAGAACTGTTGCCAGTCAGAGTATAGAAAACTGGGCTAGATGCACAAATAGCCTAAGCTGGAATAAGGCACTGCCTTATAGTTTTCAGTTATTTTGCTTATATGTGCATTTGATGCTGGGCATGCAGGCGGAGGTACTAAGATTCCCAGTTCTGGCACCTTGCATTATGTGAAACCCAGCCTGGCCCAGGGTGAAGGAAGCTGAGTGCACAGCAAATGAAAAGGACTATACGAATCATGATGACAGGAACCTTAGGAAGCTGCCTTATACTGGACCAAAGCTTTGGCCCATCTACCCCAGCATTGCCCACACTGGCTGGCAGCTGCTTGGGAGGGTGTCAGGCAGGGTCTCTCCAGCTTCTACCTGGAGATTCTGGGGGTCGCACCTGGGACCTTCTGCACGAAAGCCATGTGCTCTAATGCTTAAGTGCATAAGAATTGCTTTGTTCTCAAGCCTGGGGTCTGGCCAGTTCTGCTGCGCAACTATGGCCAGCCAGGCACCTCTGGTCATTTCTCTTGCTCTCCTCCTCTCGCCTCTGGTACCCAGAGGTACAGTGCCTTTAGCTGTGGAAGTTCCATTTAAGCACGGATAGACAGATTTGATGCAGAGACCCACCTGTCCACAAATGGTGAGGTTTGCAGCGCATTGGAACCATAGGACCTGAGCGCTGCTTAATTTCTCCACTGTGAAGGATTGAGAAGCCCACAAGGAGGGTGCGCATTGGCAGCCGAGGACAGTTTCCTGTGAGCTTCTCCTCACAAGCCCATTCTACGATGTGTGTGTGAGAGAGAGTCGCCGGTTAGTCAAGAGCCTGTTATGAAACCAGATTCAAGCAGCTCCTTGAATCAGTGAGCAGGGAGAGGAGGCTGCCTTGTGCACACAGCCAGGGATGGTGTGTGTCCACCACGTTCCGTAATTTGCATGTGGAGTACAAACGGTTCGTGGTGGATGGCGCCGCACTCCGCTTTTGGGGAACGGAAAGGGAGTGTGCGGGAATCAGGCAATCCGGAATACAAGCATGCGCTGCCAGTTTGGGAGGTGCTGGCTGAAGGTGTGCCTTGCTTTCGTTTTGGAGGAAATTTTTGTGCATATCTTATCTCTCTTTCGCCTCTTTGCTTGCGTCTCCAAACTGCATGGTCCTGGGCCCCGGCAGCTCAGGCAAAGATCAGCTTCTCTGAGAATAGCCACCGGCAAGAAATAGGCAGCTCTTTCAGCAGAGAGGAAGAGGAGGATGGGAAAATAAGGATAATCTTTGCAGAGTGTTTGCTGCCGGTGGATTCTTGACCTACTGGCTCAGATAGGAGGAGGGGTCACAGATAGAAGCCTCACCGTGGTTCCTCCTTTCCCTTTCGCTTGCAGCAGATTTCGGGAGCCGTCCAGGAGCACCGCCAGGAAAAGGAGAAGAGGGGGCTACTGTGTGCGCACGCCAGGCAGCAAGTGGATTTGGTGCCTGAGATGAAATGAACTTGCTGCCTTTGTCATCACGAGGACTGCCTGGGATCCCAGTCTCTTGGAGAGGGTGGGTAAGTCAAAATGCCATTTTAATTCTGGGTTGAGAGGCTCGTGGGTTGGTTTTCAATCATTTCCACTGTGTGCTTTCAAGACGCTTTGCAACCTCGCCGGCATTTCAAACGGTCGCCGCGAGGAAGCTTATCTCTGTTCCCATTTTAGAGGCGGACAACTGAGGCTGATGAGTAGGGTTGTCTGCGGACAGCAATCCCCTCTCCCACGTCTCCTTCTGCTGCTGCAGTGCAGCTGATTTAGCTCACAATTGTAGACTTGTAGAGTTGGAAGGGACCTCCGGCGGTCATCCAGCCCAACCCCCCACAATGCAGGAATATTTTTGCCCAACGTGGGGCTCGAACCCACAACCTTAAGATTCAGTATCTCATTCTCTGCGGACTGAGCTATTCTGAAGATGGAGGAGGAAGGTACATCAAGGAGTAGCATGCTTTAAACATTGGGGTGAGTGTTGCACATCAGGTCCAGGGACTAAAAGAGACCTCTAATGTAGAACCACCACCAGCCTGCCATAGATTGCTTTTTCTGGTTTTTCCTAAAATCGGAACCCGATTCCAACTTGGCTTATTTTCTAACGACAATGCTGACAACAGGGCGGTTTGGTTGCCTTTGTTCTCTTCTCCTTCCTGGCTTGAGCTGAACATCCCAAATCATGTTGCATGATTCTCACCACAGCCCTACAAAGGCTCGCAGTGTCTGTATGGCAGGATGGAAGATTGTGGGGGATGAGAGAGCAGCCACGGAGAGATCAGGGCTTACCTGCAGCTTCCTAAAGGCATAATGCAAGCTTTGGACCTCAGTAATAAAACAATAGGGGGGTGCGTTTCGCTCTCTGTAGTTTGCGGCAGATGCTTCCCACATGGAGGGCTCATCGCGATAGACCGGCTGGCTTTGCATGTGGAAATTTCTGGCTGTTCCCAGTGCAAGGGGGCAGGAAGAATTGTCTTCTTGGTACCCATGAGAAACGCTTCTGCTGTTGCTCAGTCAGTCCTGGGCAAGACAGAGCAATGCTCTGACTAAGGACAATGCAGACTAATCTGCTGTCTCCTTTGCACATTGCAGCTCCTAGATATTCAGGATATACTGAGTATATCGTTTTTGCAATCTTCACGTTCAGTTCTCCACCGTTTCACACGGGTCTGCAATTTTGTTAAATCGCCGTGAAAATTCACCAGCTTTTATGCGCGCATTTAACGTGCACGTTTTTTGTATGCAGTTTTTGCCTAATATCCACAATTTCACAAAGCAAATTCCCGCTAATGCAAAGCATTTCTTTGGCGTGCTGTTTTTGCTAACACAGCAATGCAGACTTTACCCCCAATTTAGGCATTTTTGTAACCATTGCTTTGCTGGAGAACTGCATGGCAAAATTCAAAGAAGCATGAATTTCAAAGGACAGCTGTGTTTCGAGTTTCTGTTTTGTTTGGGGAAGTGACTTAGACTGATTCACTTTTAAATGTGAACTGAATCTAATTTCTCCCACTAACATTGAGATAGATTTTGGTTCAAGTCTGTACAACTTCTTTTGTTTTTATGCATACTGTCCTAATTCGGGGCCATTTTAAGTTGCGTCTTGCACTCTCGGTTATTGCTTTATATCTGAGCTGAAATGCAAAAAAAAAATAAAATTCTGAAAAGGCAAAATTCTGCACTGCAGTTTCAGCCTCGAAAGAGTTTCCAGGAATTGTTTAACTAATACAATTTTCCAAGTATGTACTGTATAGTCTGCTCTATAATTTGCCAAATAATTTTAATATGACCTTGAAATCCTATGATGCTCAATTCCAGTATTAGGCAAGTGCCTTCATTGTACTGCTTCCCATGCCTGCTAAAAAGGCTTTTGTTTAGACAAACCTGCACAGGCGACATGTATGAGTGATTATGCACATTTGGTTTAAAAACCGTTGGTTTTAGCTATATTTTGCTAATTGCTTTATATTTTTTGGTTTTTTTAAAGTCTGTTGCTTTTATTCAGTATTTCCTTATGAATATTTTACATTACTTTAGCTTAATCACTTAGAGGTTTTATTTTATTGTGGTATGTATATATTGTTAAATAAATGTTTGATGCTTATTACTGGAATTTGGCATTTCACAGTATTTGCTGTCTGTTAGGACTTAACAGAGACTTACTGCGTTTGATAGTGACATGCAATGGCACTTAGTATTTAGAGTTTGGTCCTCGGCTATATTTGGCATATGACATCTTAAGGAGATCTCAGGTTTGGTGCACTAAAAATCCAGATAGCCTTTTCAAATCTTAAAAAGTGCACCTGCTCCAGTATTGTGACCAGCCAGATTGCTGTGAGAAACTCCCAAGTAGGAGATACAGGAAACTGCCTTTCTTCCCCCCCCCCAAAAAAAAACCAACCACAATTGGCCTTCAGAGATATACTGCGGAGGCTCTGTTCTCCTAACCAATAATAATAATAATAATAATAATAATAATAATAATAATAATAATAATAATTTATTATTTGTACCCCGCCCGTCTGGCTGGGTCTCCCCAGCCAATCTGGGTGGCTTCCAACAGAATATTAAAATACAATAACCTCTTAAACTTTAAAAGCTTACAGGGCTGCCTTCAGATGTCTTCTAAAAGTCTGGTAGTTGTTTTTCTCTTTGACATCTGGGGGGAGGGCTTTCCACAGGGAGGGCGCCACCACCGAGAAGGCCCTCTGCCTGGTTCCCTGTAGCTTTGCTTCTCGCAGGGAGGGAACCGCCAGAAGGCCCTCAGTGCTGGACCTCAGTGTCCAGGCAGAACGATGGGGGTGGAGACGCTCCTTCAGGTATACTGGGCTGAGGCCGTTTAGGGCTTTAAAGATCAACACCTTTAATGCAGCCCATAGTTAAACTGTGGAACTCTCTCCCACAAGAGGCAGCGATGACCTAGATGGCTTTAAAAGAAGTTTAGAGAAGTTCGTGGAGGAAAGGGCTGTTGATGGCTACCAGCCACAGTAGCTATGCCTTGTCTCCATGGTTGGAGGAGGAGAGTTGCTCTTGTGTTCAGATACTTCCAGGCATCTGGTTGGCCATTGTGAGAACAGGATGCTTGACTAGATGGTATAAAAGTAAAGCTAAAGGCCCCCTGGATGGTTAAGTCCAGTCAAAGGTGGACTTAACCTTTGGGTGTGGCACTCATCTCGCTTTCAGGCCGAGGGAGCCGGCGTTTGTCCACAGGCAGCTTTCCGGGTCATGTTGCCAGCATGACTAAACTGCTTCTGGTGCAACGGAACACCGTGACGGAAACCGGAGTGCACCGAAACGCAGTATACCTTCCTGCGGCAGTGGTACCTATTTATCTACTTGCACTGGCCTGCTTTCGAACTGCTAGGTTGGCAGGAGCAGGGACCAAGCAACGGGAGCTCACCCCGTCACGGGGATTCGAACCGCCAACCTTCCAATCAAGTAGAGGGACCATGGACTTGGTCCAAGCAGCCTTTTCTTATGTTTTTATGATAGCCTGACCTGATTTTTTTTTTAGCTTCCTGTATTTCTAAGGATGTGGCCTACAGCAGTGGTTCTCAGACATTTTTCTCTGAGCAGAAGAATCTGCTCACACCCACAGCAAGTTTTCTAGTGGTGAAAAACAAAAAATACATTGGAAAACACACCCAGTGTTGTCCTCAGTGTCACTAGAGGCTCTTGGAAAAGAGATGATGATGATAACAATAATAATAATAATAATTTATTATTTAAACGCCACCCATCTGGCTGGGTTACCCCAGCCACTCTGGGCGGCTTCCAACAGAATATTAAAATACAATAATCTATTAAACATTAAAAGCTTCCCTAAACATCTCACTGTACAGGCAACTCCCCATTCATGTGTGTTCTGTTTGCTTGCAACCACACACACACACACACACACACACACACACAGAAGGGGAAATGGGGGGCACCTGGTCAACCGAGCTTTGCTGTCACAGCCGACACAAGCGGGGAATCTTCTTCCCCTTGTGCGAGGAGGAGGACAGAGGAAGACTCCCCTGGGTGCTCCCCATTTGACGTAACTCAGCGTACGTGCACAAGGGCCCGTTACAGAACCCCTGCATAAATGGGGAGTCACCTGTATCCTGCAAATAACTAAAAAAATGGAATCATAGAATTGTAGCGTTGGAAGGGACCCCTGGGTCATCTAGTCCAACCCCCTTCCAATGCAGGGCTCTCAGCTCAAGCATCCATGACAGATGGCCATCCAACCTCTGCTTAAAAACCTGCAAGGAAGGAGAGTCTACCACTTCCCGAGGGAGACCATTCCATGGTCAAACAGCTCTTACTGTCAGAAGGAGCACCTTCCTGATGTTTAGTTTCAATCTCCTTTCTTGTAAGTTGAAGCCATGGGTCCGAGTCCTGCCCTCCAGAGCAGGAGAAAACAAGCTTTCCCCTGTTCCATGTGACAGCCCTCGACATATTTGAAGATGGCTATCGTATCTCCTTTCAGTCTCCTCTTTTCCAGGCTAAACATGCCCAGCTCCTTCAACCGTTCCTCATCAGGCTTGGCTTCTGGACCCTTGATCCACCTTGGTTGACCTCTTCTGCACACCTTCCAGCTTGTACCAGTTACAGTGGTACCTCTGGATGCGAACGGAATCTGTTCCGGAGCCCCGTTCGCATCCTGAAGCAAATGCAACCCGCGTCTGCGTGTGCCCGGGTCACAATTCGCCGCGCACGCGCATGACATCATTTTGAGCATCTGCGCATGCGCGAGCGACGAAACCCAAAAGTAATGCACTCCGTTACTTTTGGGTCGCCGCGGAGCACAACCCGAAAATGCTCAACCCGAAGCTACTTCAACCCGAGGTATGACTGTATTTGGATACTGCTGTTGTTGTTTAGTCGTTTAGTCGTGTCCGCCTCTTCGTGACCCCATGGACCAGAGCATGCCAGGCACTTCTGTCTTCCACTGCCTCCTGCAGCTTGGTCAAACTCATGCTGGTATCTTCGAGAACACTATCCAACCATCTCGTCCTCTCTCGTCCCCTTCTCCTTGTGCCCTCCA